AGCAGTAGACAGCTAAAAACTCGAAATAGAGATCGAGCGGTCATTAGCTGAAACTACCTAAACGAAAGTTGAAGACCCCAACAATAGGAGTACAACAGTAAAAAGTCTGACAGAAATGGACATCAGATGAAGGAGTTACGGAATTTAAACGGACTTTTCTAGGTCCGACCTGTTAAAAGTAATATAATAAAAATAAATTCAAAATTAGCCGATGGAATCTAAACGAGAGTTGTAGAGCCTTTTCACACCTACGCGTGCAAATAAAGAACGTCAAAATCGGAGCTCTTATGTGAAAACGCAAGGCTTACTCAGCCTCATGAGGTGAGGGGACCATGATCACGAGGTGAGGGGACCATGATCACGACGTGAGCTCGTGGTTGATGGGTTCTAGAGTTTCAAACACGTCAAATCGTCGAAGAGGATAATGTTGACTAAGCCTCACGACGTGAGCAATCGAAACTCATGATGTGAGACCCCAAATCAACCCCTATAAATAGAAGCTTAAGGGTGCCTGGTTTGGTGCTCATTTCTTTCCTTCTAATTGCTATTACCATGCGTGATTACCTCAATAAGCCTTCCCGAATCCCCGATTTTTCATACTCGAGACCCGAAGGAAGTTCTACACTCCCGAGATCCCCGAAAATCCCGAGATTTCAACTCTCTCTAGTGGAAGTTCTGCTTGATTCTTCTATCGACTACTTCAAAACAACCACTTCAATCAAGTGAGTTCATACCCCTACAACCACACTTTAAATACGTTTTTAACTGTTTTTAAAACACTTTTAAGGGGGGGAATACAAGTAAACACACGGCTAAAATCGTGTGAAACATCGATCTTTTGATATACTTTTCATACTGTTGTTTTAACTATCATATGGAGTTGTTATCATGCAAAACACCTCACAACACAACTTTACCCTCTTGGGCTACAATACATTTTATAAATAGAAATATGTTTATTTATACGTTTGCATATTACATCATATCAAGGGTAAGATTTCTTGTTAAACCATTTTATGGATTCAAAGAACTTATGGTTTATGCTTTGTCAAACATTGTGAAAAAGGATAAACATTGCATACAAAACTATCACTTTAATACAAACTTAGTTGAGAATCCGTGAGATGATCACATCTTCAATGCTACCTTTTTGTTAAATGGTACTACCTAAAGACCTGTCTATTATAACAAGAGTCTCCCATGGAAGAGCGTGTCAAATGTGTATAGATCTATATGGGAAGTCATGATCCCGCGCCCTGACTGTTAGCTACAATCCTTTGGGTGACAGTTTGTCATAAACGTTTCGATGCCTGATGACCGTCGCCACAGACATATTATATTTAGTATGGTTATAAAACTCATCAGATAGACAGTTATTATGGTATTATGATTTTATGATTGAGTAGTCATTAAAACTATTCTTCATCTAACATGTGCGATCTTCTTATAGCTTTATTATATAAAACTATGCCTCAACCTTTTAAGCATGTCATTTGCTTGTGATTTTTGGTCTTGGACATTAGAGACTGCTTGTTACTTTAGGAAAATAAGGGATTTTCCTGTAGCTAAAACAATCAACTAATAGGAAAATAACGGATTTTCCTGGTGCAACTATATAGAACTCATAACACAAACATTCAGATACATTTCATACTTTTATAAGAAAGTAAGGGATTTTCTTGGAAAACGCACGAACTTTGGAATGGCATACATTTCTCAAAACCGCTTATGAACTCACCAACTTAATTGTTGACACTTTTTCTTTGAAATAACTTGTATTCTCAGGAAACCGCTAAGCAAGTTTGGAAACCAACTTTTGGGGATTAACGCTCTGACGTTAATTACTTCTTATGAAAGATGTTTACGTATTTATCTTTTGAACATGTAACACATACAAATATGTAAAAATTTTGAAACCTTTATATGTATGGTGATGTATACTTTCCTTACTACGAACTGTTATGATACTGAATGTGACGTCCTCAAATCCCGAACGTTTCTGCCATTCTGGTTTGGGGATGTGACACATCATCTCATGGAGATACACCCCCAATTCAATCTCCAGAAGATTTAACTGGTTCTTGCCCTAAGGTCTCTAGGGCTTCCTGCCTTCATTTCTTTACCCTTGAAGAGTTAAACTCTATCATTTCGTTTGTCACCAAAACACTTCATACACATTCCCAACTGCAGGGCAATTCATCAGCCCTAGCTGGAACTGAGCCGAGGCCGAACTTGACTACAGGTCAAGGAGACCGAAGAAGCTCAGGAAATCCTACTATACTTTCCTTACAATCAGGTAGTTTAGTAATGGTGAGCACCAATGTGCTTGGATCTGAGAACCCGGGGGAAGCCCCAATGCGAAATCAAGGATTTGATGGTTACCATTCTGATGACTCTTGGATTTGGTATAAACCAACTACCGAATCAGAAGTCAAAAAATAGGAAGCTTTCTGTTGGGCCTTGAAAGCACGAAAGGATCAGAAAAACAAACAACAACAATAGAAAGAGCAGGAGATTTAGACAATAGCAAAATACTAGGCGGACACACACAACAATGCCAACACAATTGCCTCTATTCTCAAGATCCAGGACTAGATGACCTCCATGGTTGAGACTGTTCACAACGCTCAGTCCATTCCAGATACTACGGGTCCATGAGAGCATGTTCAACCAATCCCTATTCAAGACTCTCAAGATGATGGCACATCAATTGTAGTCCGCTTAGGACCAACTTTCTATTTTGATGACTTCAACATTGATGAGATCAACCAACCATCATAATCAGATGAATTTGTTATGATCTTTGATGAAGAAGAGGAATCCAGTGGTTCCCAACACTCCACCTCCAAGCCAAAGGAGAAAAAGAAGAAAAAAGCGGCTATTACTTGCAAGGAAATCCTCTCCTTGCAATCCAAGGTTGATGCAATTCTAATCACAGTTACCACTAACTCCTGTTCTCAAAATCCAGATGTCTCTACACCGCAATCTCTCATCGATCAAGTTAAAATAATTGAAACTCGAGAAAAACATGCAGCAGAAAGGATTCTTCTCAGAATCAAAATGGGCATCCACGACTTCGATAATCGCAAGACTTCTAATCACAAACAGTTCTTATCCCTAGCTGAGAATCTCATTTTTCAAGTCTCGGCTCTCAAAGAAGAAATCAAGCAATCCTTTAGTACGCATGCTGCTCACTCTTTGCAATTGGTGAATGAGACTCATAATGTATATGAGTCTTGATGAGAATAAATCTATGATCGTTTAGATCTTTCACATGTATATTGATTAAAAACAAACAATTCAATCACAATATGAATAAGAACACAATATGGAATCAATGTCAAGCTTATGATTCAAATATAGTCACTCCTCAGCAGAGCTCGATGAAGAACTTCCACTGTAGAGGCGAGCTACGATTTACAATACTTTGATAATAGAAAATAATAAAAGTGTTACCTACTTAGGATGCATGCATGCACCTTAAATACTAAACCCCTATAATAAAAACAATCACGGTTGGACAACCCCAAACCGGATACCAAAACTGGACTAAGAACCGATCCCATTACGCAACACTATAAGCCCAACATTCTCCCCCTTTGCGTCAATTGGGGTGAGACCTTCACTTCGGTTGATTAGCTGAAGTTCTATTCACCACTTTAAATAAGCATGGAATTATAGCAAGAAGAACATGACGGAAGTGGATATACCATCTTATCATATCGGTGAAGTACTTCTTGTCGCTTTCACTGTTCTACTTGCATTTGTGAATGATCCCAAGAACATACTCCAAGCACGGAGTAGTGAAGAGATGTTTATCCTTTAAAGTGAACAGACACTTCTTGCCATCCTGTTTGGTGAACATCACAAAATTCAAGAATGGATCAATCTTTTCCATCTTCATCTTGTTGACGTCACTTGCAGAACGAACTGGCAGAATAGCGGGTTTCTTTCTAAGAACCAAAGCGACCTCTTGATCCATCTTAGCTACCTCCAAAACATAGCAGACTAACAATCTATTAAGATGATCAATGATTAGTTCATACTTAACAGGGTTGGAGAGTAGAATGTTGTGCAGGACAATCCATTCATGAGGATTAAGATTGGGCAGATCAGCAAGAGAGAATGTATGCTCAGACAAAGACAATCCTCTTGTGAGTTTGAATTTGACGTTGATAAATTTTCCTGCAGCTTGAGGATTAAGGACCCAAACTGTGATGATTTTCTGAGCACTCCAAGTGACATATTGTGGTTGAGAAAACTCTAAGTAGTAATCGACGAGCTCACGATCAACCTTCTGGTCTTGATGAGGGACTTCTGCAACTGGAAGAAAGTAGTGAAACAGAAACGCCTTTCGGGTAATAGGCGTGTCAAATTGTTAACCCTGTGTGTTTTCACGGTCCAAAGACATTACCGGCTCAAGCCAATGAGTGCTAGGAGAGTCAATGGCTTCTTTAAGCAGCTTCTCCAAAGTCCAGAAGGGAAAAAGAGTTTTCTTGCTTTCAAGGAGATCTTGAGCCTCCTTTAATCTCCTTTCTTTTTCTTCAGCTTCCCTCACTATTTTAGCGTTGAGATTGATTTCCCTTTCCCTTGCCTTTCGCTTCAAGGCATCAACAATTGTTTCCTCTTCCTCATCGCTATCATCTACTATTGGACCCTTGCTTTTACCTTTAAGAGTCGAACCTGAAGCATGCTTAGGCTTCTGTAGTTCTGGCTAGGAAGTGAGAGGAAGTTGAGACTTAGGAGGAGGTTGAGATGACGATATGAGTCCTCCCCCTTGTTTCGGAGGTACCACCACCTTGGAAACACCTTCAATACGACTCAACATCCCAAGCGTAGGATGGAGTTTTTCAGCAAGATGGCGTCGAATAGTAATAGTCAGAATAGGGTCATGAGCTTCCAAAATGCCCAAGAGAATGGCGTGAATATCGGAGACACAACTCTTGACAACATCTCTTATGAAGACTTTTTGTCTTCAGTTGAATTGTCTTGCGAGCAAGTTAATCCATCAGGGAGTTTTCCATAGTGAGGTCATCTTGAAGCTTGGTAAGACGCTCATTGAGAGAGGAAAGAAGAGCAACGTTGTCCTTTTGAATATACTGGCGAAGATGGACAAAATTTTGCTTCTTAGCAGCAAAGGCTTCTTCAAGCTTGGTTATTGAGTTGGTCACTCTGGAAGCATTTGAGGCAGCGACTCCTAGTAAGGACTCAAGAAAAATGTTAGCGTCTTGAATTAGTTTATCGACTTTTTCGGTCTCTTCTGTACACACTTTAGTGGAATTGTTAAAAGCCTATGTGTCACGAGAGATGGAAGCCTCTTGTGCTGTGACAAAAGAGTCAAGCATCTTCTGAATAGCATATTCAGAATTGGGAGTGTCAGCGGAAGAAGAGGCCATGAGTGTATCAAGTTTGGCATTCAACTCCTTGAGATGCTCTTTGGTAAGAGGAGCATCATCATCTTCGTCACTTTGAACACAATAAGGGTTGTAGTAAAAGGAATAAAATTCCATGTCTTCGCCTCCCAGGACAGGGTTGGTTTCAATTGATGGTGTGGGAGATAAGGTTTTGGTTGTTTCTGGGACTGAAGACCGAACCCCCATATCAGATACGTTGGTTGGCGATCCAGTGGTGGTGTTTTTGGTTGCGTCTGAGAAGATAGGAGTGGGAATGGGAATAGTAGATGTAGGTTGTGATGAAATATCTGGGAAGGTTGGTGTTACACCCCGCTAAAGCGGAAATGCAAGCTATGACAGCGATAATGGTTTCATTGCAAAAGATAAAGATACATCACCATAGCAGTATTTAAAAGTTTACAACCCATAGCTTAAAAAGAAACAAAGTACAAGTTTTTCCAAAATAACATTGTTCAAAGATAACTTCATAAATAACTTCAACGCGATGCAGCATGCTCTATGATGATGAATCTTTATATCCACTTACTACTTATTTCCTGAAAAAGCATGTAAAACGAGCGTCAACTATGAAAATAGTTGGTGAGTTCACAAGTTTATAAAATCAAGCGTAAAATAAGGCTTTTCGTAAATACAAGTACATTGCATCAATGATAAACAAGTTGATTGCTATTATTGAATACAAGTTTATTGCTATAACGAGAAACGAGTTTGTATGTGTATGAGCAAACAATGAGTCTCAACCAAACTAATGACTGAAGCCCTATCGAGATGTATGCTTATCGTTCCATAGATGAATATGGTATCATGCACTCCAGCAATAGGGCGAGTGAGGAGTTGTCAATTCCTAATAGCGCTATCCATAATGACCATTGGCTCAAAGAGGTAATGGTTATAGATAAGGGACGGGCCTTAGTACGATAAGTTCTCATGTTCCGTTTTGCATAAACATACATAAAGAAACATAGCAATAAAATAGCAATCATGTTTGATAATAAACAATTTAAATACATCATGCAAACAATAGTTTTCTGGACATGCTTTTCCACCCCAAAACATAAAAACTGAAAATAGGGGATTGCGTGAATACTCACGATGTTTCGTGTAGGCACAAGCGGTACTTCGGGATGCACTAACGTCTTACTACCGGGATCCTACAACATCAAACACACACACTAGTGAGTTTCCATGTCGATATCTAATGCTAATATACTAAACTCTACATATAGGGAAATGCCAATTTATGTTTTAGTATTGGATTTTATATCAATTGGTTACACTTTTTCTGAAATATTGAAATTTTACAAGTCGTGCGATTAATTACAACTTTGGAAGGTTAATTTTCCAAATTTTAAGTCTCTATAACAACATAAATTCACGAAAAATAGCATTCGAGGGATAAAAATTCTCAAACTTTTTATTTAACTGTTATTACACAATATTAAGCTGGGAAAAATATAAAAATAGATTTCCAAGCTGTTTAATTATATTTTATGATTTATGAGTATTTATTCCAATAAAAATTGAAATAGATAGAAAACAGTTTCCAAAATTACCCAAAATCTTTTTATTTAATTGTTATTATACATAACTAGGCTGGGAAAAATATAAAAGATATTTTTCAGTACGTATTTCTATTTTTCCTTGTTTTATTCCTTTAAATAGTCATTAATTAAAGAAATAATATTAAACAGTTAAAATAAATCACCATAAATTTTTGTAACATCATTTACAGTCTAAATAACTTGGGAAAAATATCAAAAGTGGGTTTCATAATGTATAAACTGGTATTGGGTATTTTTGTGTATTTAAGTGTATTTTAGTGATATTATTTTTAGAAAATAAGAGAAAAATAGTTTATAGTAGAAAAAATACTCAAAATGTTTATGTAACCTCCTACTGTACAATATGATATCCTGGTAATTTTTCATGATTTTTGGATAATCAGAACTATTTTTCCCATTTTTAGACCATTACAATTACCAAAAATTGGGAAAAATACTAAGACATGATGAAAAATCTTGAAATTATTTTTTGAAGTCACCATTCACAGGTAAGGTATGCAAAAATTGTTAGATACAATTTTCACATTTTCTAAAGTGGCTTTTTGATTTATTATGCCCTAAACAAAAGAAAATCAGAAATCATACTAAACAGTAATAAAAATTGATGAAATTTATTCAGGATTTATTGACCTCTGGAAGTATTTTATGTGATTTATGCCCTTGGTTTTAGCAATAATTTTAATAAATCAAGGAAATAAAAAAAGCTCTTGAAATTTTCCAGATTATCTCATGCATGTGAGGGCTTTCAAAAGGAAAACTGTTAAAAATGTATTCAGAAGAGAAATGAGGGTATTGAATCTAAACAAATTAAGAAAGGTTGCATGCAATGATGCATGAAATGTAGATGTGGCCGAAGTTCCTGAATTTGTGTAGTCCATTCAGTGAGGTTTTAAGCCACGAAATTTCAGACATCATTCATTAGATATGTTAAGTTTCTAAGGTATTTTTCCTCAGATTTATGGTTGGTTTTAAGGCCATTGATCATGCAAGACAAAAATAGTGATCACAGAAAAAGAGCTGTATGCACAACCATTTTGTACAAATTCCCAAAAACCGGATATTTAATATTTTATAGTGAGACCAGTTGGGTTTGAAAGTTAACTCATGGAAATATCCAATACAAAAAGAATATCATGATTTGGTTAAGAAACGACCGAGTTATGGCCGTTCAAATTCGAACAAAGTAATCTGGAAGATTGCATGTTTGTTTTTGTGCATTATTAGGGTATTTTGACAAGAACATCATGCATGCCTTTGGTAAGGTCCGATTTCTAACACATGCGTGGGGTGAATGAGCCTCCAAGATGTACTAGAAATGGTTTAAATGCTTTTGGTCATGCAAGAACACAAAAGAAATGTAGAAGAAGATGAAATATTCGGTTTTGATGTCACATGATCATATGTGCATCTTTTTCACTCCTTGCATGGGTTTGATCCCGGATTTTCACCATCTCAAGCACATGCATTGTGCTATGGTGAGAATCTACAAACCACAAGGGAAGAATAAAGATTTATAGCCATGGAAAGACATAGAATCCGAAAAGTAGAGAAAACTATGAAGATGAAGAAGTTTAACCATGAAACTATGGGAGAAGATGTTGTTGTTTACCTTGGTTTTGACCTTGAAAGAAGTAAGAACACTTCAAGCCTCCTAAATCCAGAAATATGGAAGATGAATGAGAGGGTTTTCGTGGGTTAGAGAGAGAGAAAGGAGAAGAGTTTTTGTAAGAAGAGTGGAGTGTAAGAGGATGAAGAGAGAAGAGGTAGTGTGAGGGTTTTGACTTAATGATTGTGTTTTGGGAAGAGAGAGTGCATGGGGAGGGGAGAGTGGCCGGCTCTATCATGCATTAGGCCTCCTCTCTCCAAAATTTTTAAACTTTATAAGATTCCCTCTAATTTCTTTTATAAAACCCTAACTTTTATAAAAATATTTATTAAGCAATTCTTGATTTGTTTTAATATCTTGTATTTAACCAATAATTTATGATTAATACTTGATAATTTAATTTCTATTTCATTGATTATAATTCCTAATTTGATTAATAAAAATTTGATATTAGGAAGTTTATAGCCAAATTTTATAAAGTTTTTAAGATTTATAATTTATAATTTTGGATTTTTGGCTCTTTAGGGTTTTTGGAATATTGTTTTATATTCATCAACATGTTAATGTATAATTAGAATGTTTTAATTTATTTTTATGGTTTTATATCCTATTTTAATTATAACAAAGCTTGAAAGCTTCATTCTAATTATAGCATTGGCATTTCCTATTGTAGTTAAGCAACTTACTAGAATTGTAAGTGTCAAGTATATTAGTCCTAGAACTTAGTTGGATCCTAGTTTATGCATGAAATTTGACCTAATTTATACTACTAGGTCATGGCATGTTGTGCATGAATGGTTTTTATAAGGATGCATGAGTCCAAAAATGACCTGAATTGACAGTTTCACAGTTGGAGGTAAGGAAATAGGGATTGTAACATGTGGAGAAGAGGGAACTGGGGAGCGAACATGTACCTCAAGAGTTGGGGATCTAGGCGGAGTATCACCACGAAACGAAGCCTCCTCATCAGAGCTTTTGCTCTCTGATTCTGTTGGAGTAGTGGGTTTGTTACCAGGAGGAACATACTTAGAGTCCGAATCGCTATAGGATTGAAGAATGAGTCTCCTGGCTAGCTTTTTCAGCTTCTTCTGCTTCGGTTGTGAAGGAGCAGTTTTGTCAGACTATCGCTTCTTGGGAGTTTTTCCTTTGGTTGGTTTAGTGAATCTCACCTCCTTTTGTGTTTTTGGTTTCTTTCCCCTCTTCGCAGGCTTGTTTGCTTCCTCGATAGAGCAAATCATGGCAGGAGTGAGTTCGCTTGGGCCTGAAGAAGGAAGCTTCTTGTATTCTTGAATGACGTTGCTTGCGTAAGACACGCAGGCAAACACAACTATTGGGATCGACCCAATGAAGGAATACTTGGAAGGATCTATGACGATGATCTTCGTGGTGTGAAAGGTTGTGATAGAGGAAAGAAGGGAGTCTGCCATGATTGGAACGTGAAGACAATCCATCGCCCACTTTTTGATAACGGACCAATACCTACCACATGAAATCTCATAATGTCAAGATGAAGAATACAAACTCTGAACCAGTTGTTGCCATATAACTGCCCCATAGTCCAGAGTAACCCCATTATAAAACCCATAAAGAACAGTCATAAATGACTTGCTTGCTCCGTCTGAGCTGGCGCTACACTTTGAGAGACCCTTGAAAAGAAGAGTAAAGAGGTCGTTCCATTGTGGAGGAAGGCTAGAATTCTTAAATTTGGTAATGGTGGTTAGGGTTTCTGTGTACCCCATTTGGTAGAACATGGAGAACAGTTGACCAGTAGTAATGGAGTCGGGGTTTACCAGAGTGGGTTCATGAGCAAGACCAATTAGGGCACAGAAGCGATTCTTGGAGATAGAGGTCTTCTCGTTCTGAATATCAAAGTGAATCCTCTCAGCAACCTTGTCATAGTAAGCGGTTGAATAGATGTGAGAGAGGCAGGTCATGGGAACAACTTCGACCTTTGTAAGAGCATCAACAAGAGGTGAGTACTTGAGACATTCGAAGATGTACAACATGTAGGGTTCATAGATGAAGGGTGTAAGATCAATGATGAGGTCTTGTTGAGGCTTGATGGTGAGAAGGTTGGAGAGAGCAGATGTATCTTGAACAGAAGAAGATTCTGCCATTGATGAAGCTTGAGAAGAAGATGATGAACAGTGAGAGAGAGCGCCCTTTGCTTTTTGAGGATTTGTGAGGTACAAAAGAGTAAAGTGGAGCGTGAGAAATCCTTTTATACGTACGAGTAGGAGAGAGAAATATCCGACTGAAATCCTGGCTTTATCTGAAATCGTTCCTGATGTGATGGAGTGGACATTTGGCAGTCCCTATGATGGTGCAGGAGAGAGAAAGGACGTTTCACTTTTACGCGCCTTTCCATAGAAAGTACCTTTTACAAATCGTCAAAACGATTGGACAACGGCTGACTCATCCAAGATCTTTATCCCAAACATCACCCACATAAATTACATGAACCGTCATCACATCTACCTTTATTGATCGATCACTGGAATACTTTTAGAAACGAAGCTGAAAAAATTAGCTCATCATTAATAGACCCAGATTTTTGGAAAATCAAAGATTTTCGTGCATAGAGTGTGAATGATAAAGAAATAAAGCAAACTTTTTATGGGAATTTGTGATGTCTTGTTAAGACATAAAGCGACTGATTCCGGGCATAAATCTCATCCTTTAAAGTCAAGAGAGACTTCAAAGTGCTTGTGTGGCTTCCCGTGAAATAACGATCAAATACTTGTTAAGAAGTATTGAAAGACATATTTTTTAATTAAAGCTATAAGGGGTGGATTTCGCTTCAATTCAAGATTTCGGTTCTTGATATAAGACCGAAATTGAACGAAGTACTTGTGAGACCAATGTGGCCTATTAAACAAGTAGGTAGGAAACATATTCAGTGACTTGTTGACAATTGAGAACTCTAAAAAAAATTAACTGGATCCTTGGGGAAGAAAAGTCTTGGTGATAGACATTTTCAGAAGGACTACTCAAAATAAAAAGAGATTTCATTCATGAGAGCTACACCATGGTAAGGGTGAACCGTCAATTCATGAAGGGTTTTGATTTGTGGGTTTCACTTAGGACGTAGTGACACGAGACTAAGATCATTAACACAGATTTTTGGATAACCATAAACCTCAGTGGTAAGTGCTGAGAGTCTCTAGGGTTACATTAGTGAGATGAAGTGTAATGAAGAAAAATGATATAGGTGGTATAAGAAGTAATTGTACCTCTGCTATAAAAGAAGGACCAAGCAGAAAACTCTAAACTCAATATGAGAAGAGTAAGGTAGCTCATGATTAGAATGAATGTAACAACCTAGTTTGGGAAAACATGATTTGTATATATCATGTTATTAAGGCTTCACTCAAAATCTGTAGAGGCTTTGGTCAACATGCAGCAACATGCATTTAGGGACACCTAACTAACTTATAGAAAAGAATATATACCTGCTTGAGCTTCACCATCGAGAGTTGCATTTAAACAAAGGAAAGCATTAGAAAAATAAAATTAAAGGAAAGATATTTTTGTGTTTTGTGAAAATTTTTAACAAAACAAAAAAACTATTTTTGGATTTTATGAAAAATTTTTAATAAAACAAAAAGAAAAATATTTTTGGATTTTATGAAATAAAAAAAAGAAAAGAAAAAAAACATAAAAATGAGTATTTTAAAAGAGTGTACAAAAGAATACAATCAAAATCCCTTTTTATGAAAAAGAAGCGAACGAGTTCAGAAGGACCGAACCCGAAATAGACCGAGCATTCGGTTCATTTTAGTTCTCGTTTGAACCGAACCCGAAGTAGACCGAACGTTCGGTTCATTTTGGTTCGCTCTATTTCGCTTCTTACCTTTAATGAAGCGAAGGCGATTTTGGTACTGATTCTGCTTCCATCATTCCTGGGCCTTGTAAGATCTTGTTGAAACTTGCTTCAGGTAAAGCCTTAGTGAATATATTTGCCAGTTGATCAGTGGTCCTAACGAAGTGAATCTCCACGTTACCATCTTCCACATGATCTTTGATGAAGTGATACCGCAGTGCTATGTGCTTTGTCTTCGAGTGTTGCACTGGGTTATGACAAATCCTAATTGCACTTTCAGAGTCGTAATATAGTGGGATCTTCTTCATGTTCAGCCCATAGTCCCTAAGCTGACTATGTATCCAAACAACCTGAGATGTGCATGAGGTGGCAGCTATGTATTCAGCTTCAGTAGTGGAGAGAGAAACACAAGTTTGTTTCTTTGATTGCCAACTAACCAATTTACCATCAAGAAATTGGCATCCTCCAATAGTGCTTTTACGATCTAATCCACAACCACCTAAGTCAGCATTTGAGAATTCTTGGAAAAAGAAACCTGAGTTGGCTGGATACCATAGACCGAGAGAGGAAGTTCGCTTCAGATAGCGAAAGATGTTTTTCATGGATAGCATGTGAGGTTCGCGTGGGTTAGCTTGGAATCGGGCACAATAGCAGACTGAGAACATGATGTCTGGCCTACTGGCTGTGAGATACATCAGTGACCCAATCATTTGATGATAAAGCGTCATGTCAGCGGCTGGCTTCTCCAAAGATAGTGTAACCTTAGTCCCAAAATCCATATGAACTTTCAGTTTGGAGTCTCCTATCATGCCAAACTTAGTAAGCAATGTCTTTATATATGCCTCCTGATTGATAAAAATGCCTTCGGGTCCCTGTCTAATATTTAAGCCAAGGAAAAAGTTAATTGGACCCATTGAGCTCATCTCAAATTTAGTTTCCATCAACTTCCTACATTTAGTTGTTAAGCTTGGATTCGTGGAGACGAAGATGATATCATCCACGCAAATTTGGACTATCATAAGGTGGTTACCCCCTCTCTTACGAAAGAAGGTTGGGTCCACCGAACCTTGTTAAAATTTTGACATTTTTAGGAATCGAGTGAGAGTTTCATACCATGCTCTGAGAGCCTGCTTCAGGCCATATACCGCTTTGTCTAGGATGTAGCAGTGATCTGGATGCTTCTCATTCATGAAGCCTGGCGGTTGCTCAACTTACACAGTTTCTTCAAGTTCTCCGTTGAGAAAGGCACACTTTACATCCATTTGATAGACTTCAAAGGGTTTGTGTGCAACATAAGCAAGAAAGATTCGAATCGACTCTAATCTTGCAACTGGAGCGAAAGTCTCTTCATAATCTATACCTTCCTCTTGGCAGTATCCTTTTACAACCAACCAAGCCTTGTTACGAATCACATTCCCCTCCTTATCCATCTTATTTCTGAATACCCATTTGAGACCGACAACTGAAGCATCCTTTGGAGTTGGAATTAGACGCCATACTTTGTTTCTTTCAAACTCGTTCAGCTCGTCTTGCATGACTTGAACCCAATCATAATGGTTAAGATCCGAATTCACGGTCTTGGGTTCAACTTTGGAGACGAAAGAGTTGAACTTGCAAAATTCTACTTTAGAGAATAGTGCCGCTTGTTTCGCTTTGATCTAAGATCGAGTTAATACCTTTTCTAAGGATTCCCCAATGATTTGACTTTGAGGATGGTCTTTGGTCCATTTAATGAGAGGTGGCTACTTTGGATCATAGGAGGGATCCAGTTCTGCATTGACTTCTTCTTCCAATTCTGATAGTGTATCATCATCATTGACATTTGTATTCTCCCCCTCGAATGATGACACGAGTTCAATTTCTCGATCAGAATGTTCCCCTTCATTTGGACTTTCGGTTGAGCTAGATGATTAAGACGATGAATTCTCTCCCTGGAATGCAGAACCTTGATCCTTTGGTAGAGACGAACTCTCCTCCTGGACCGAAGGACGATCATCATAAGATTTGCTTGAGTCGGGCCTTTCAGTTTCCTTTGGTTGAACAGCAACCATCTTCTGTGCAACATCGTCAATGATTTGCTTCATATTGTCGACTTTGTTATCTTCCGCCTTGTATTCATAATAGATAGCTTTTTCAGGTTCATCGAAGAGAAGCACATATTGCTCGAAAAGGTTTGAGATAGGAACTGTAACTTGACTGGACTTTGGAAAGATTTCCTGCATTGCACCTTCAGTTATCTTCAACTTCTTGACATAACTATCGTCAAAGGTGACATAGTATGTCTCTTCAATCTTCTTTGAGCATTTTTTCAGAACTTTATACGCCTTCGAGTGCAAGGAGTAGCCCAAAAATATCCCTTCATCAGCCTTAGCATCAAACTTGTTTCGATTATCCTTTGAATTGAAGATGAAATCTTAAACCGAACACATGAAAGAACATCACATCAGGGTTGCGGTTGTTCAACATATCATAAGGAGTGATAGAGAATTTCTTGTTTAGATATGATCTATTCTGAGTATAACTAGCAGTAGCAATAGCATCAGCCCAGAAATATAAAGGAAAGGAAGCGAAGCTTAGCATAGTTCGAGCCGGTTCGCACAGAAA